GAGGAAAATTACTTCAATTTTTTAAAGTGATTTTTTTAAAATTTATCATAGTTACGTTGTTTAATAACATTATATAAAGTTTCAGGTATACAACTTTATAGTATATCATTTGTGTATTCCATTGTGTGCTCACCACCCAACATCTAGTCTCCCCCTATCACCATATATTTGACCCCCTTTACCCTCTTCATCCTCACCCCACTTCCTTTCCCTCTGGTAACCACCCTTCTTATATCTGTGTCTATGAATTTGTTTGATTGGATTAAAAAGATATGGTGTATATATACAGTGGAATACTATTCAACCATGTGAAATGAGAAAATCCTGCTGTTTGCACCATGGACAAACCTCAAGGGCATTATGCTAAGTGAAATAGGTCAAAGAAAGAAAAATACTGTATGATCTCACTTATATGTGGGATGTAAATCAAAAAGCAAAATACTTTGATTTTTTTAAAATACCCTTTGGTGAAATTTCACACTGGTTTTCCATGGCAAATCACCACATCATTGACGTTCGGAACTACCAGATGTCTTTATCCTTAATTGTGGGCAGTCAGCAAGCTTAGCCTAGATAACCCTTAAAAACTGAAGCCCTCATTTCCATGCCTTGATTTGAGAGAAGTGGGAGTTCCTATATTTTAGAGAGTCACCCATTTTCCCTGCTTCTGGTGGGCCTTACCCTGGGTGACTGCCATCCAGACCCCTCCACGTCCCTCCTCATTTGCCTCCCTTGGCTTCCAGCTTTGGAGCTGTCTGCAGCAGAGAAGATGAAAGCCTTCCTTTCTTTATCACAGATCCGCAAACTGAGGTTCTCCTCCCAAGGGGTTTTTCTTATGAACTTTGAAGCATAGAAGAAGAAGGAGAGAGGCTGGCAGTTTCTGGTTAGAAGAAATTATCCAGAGGGCTTTCTCTGGGCTTGTTAAACATTTTTGAATGCACTAAAACAAAAGAAAATTGCTGTGGCTTTAGACATTTTCTAGTGCCATTTGGAACATTTATTCACATGGGGATTGATTTATTGCAGCCACTGTGAATGAGGTGCAGGAGGGTTTACAGAAGACTATTCTAAGTCTTGTGCTCTGCTCACAGTCTAGAAAATTAAGTTTGAAGCCTGAAATGGAGCTCTTTGATAAAATGGAAATGGGATGAAATTTCACTCCTTGCAAATGAAACTTGTAAAGAGAAAACTTGGCAGCCTCGCAGCCTTGTGCAGGTTTTCAGCTCGATCACCTGCCTCTTTCCACTAAGCTTCGCTAGCTCTTTTTTGGCACTTCTCAAACAAGTTCGTTTCTATCCTGGGAGATATGTAAAACCAGATGCTTGGGATGTCATTCTGTAGTGAAGAATTAGACCTTTGTTCTCTGAAAATTGCTGTTCCTAACCTCCAGGCCCATTGTTTAGAGGAATGGGTATAGAATGCGCAGCCCCTCTGCCCTGTCCCCAGCAACCAGGTGTTAAGGGCCTAGGTCTTGGTTAGGGTTGGCCTCATTCTGGGGCTGCTTGGGCTATGACTGGCTCCTCACTGGGCTTTCTCATGCAGATGCCAATTTGCGTTCAAACTCTTGTTCTCTGAGAGGCTTTTGTGGGCTGCTCTCTGTCTGCAGAGGTTGTGGTTTTTGGAGTTTGGGAAGTAATCAGCCTGGGTTAGCTTACCAGCTCAGCCCTTACTGGTTATGCTAGTTTGAGCCTGTGAAGTTACAATACTAGTGACAGTCTTGCGAGGTGCCATAGGCATCGCGATGGTGAACTGAGACAGTAACTATGCATAGTGTCTGCAGCATCATCTGAATCTCAAAAATATCAGTTCCCTGTGTCAGAACCAGGGCCAGAGCCTCTAGATGTAGATGGTGTGATCTTCCCAGGTACTAATAACTTTTTGAAGCTATAATTTTTTTAAAGGTGGTGGGGGTAGGGGAAATTCTGCTATAATAAGATAGTTGTGTTTCTACAAAAAATTTATTATAGCGGCTTCAGACGGAAGTGTGGAGGTAGTAGTGGCCAGGCTGTGGGGTCAAGGAGCCTCGAGAACTCAGTGAGCAGGTGGCCATGAAGGACCCTATTGGAGATGGGGTGGCTTCACAAGCTACCCTGAAACCAGGAAATCTAAGGTGAAGCGAATGCTTGACCAGCAGGCTCCCTGAAGAGTGAAAAGTTGGAAACCTTGCACAGCAGAGAGCTTTTCAAGTTTGTCAAGAAGCAGATGGTGCGGATACAGAAAGCTAAATCGAGATGTGTAAGAATTAGGTTGAAAATATTCATCTTGACCACAGTGTCATTTAATTGTGGTTAAAAATTCATTTTTAATAGTGCATTGGCTTGTTTTGTTTACCAGTGAATCCAGTAAAATCTTAGACAGTGGGATCTATTATTATTTAACATTCTAACCATTTGCCTTTGATTTTTTTTTTATTATCACATCTCTAAACTGCAGTTATCTTTGAATTATTAAAATAAAGAGAGGAGGATTTTTATAAACAATTTGTTAAAGTTAAGTACATTTTGGATTACAGACTTAAATGTAAGACCTGAAACCATAAAACTAGAAGGAAACATAGGCAGTAAACTCTCTGACATTGCTCTTAGTAATATTTTTTTGGAAATATCTCTTTGGGCAAGGGAAACAAAAGAAAAAATAAACAAATGGGATTACATCAAACTAAAAAGTTTTTGCACAGCAAAGGGAACCATCAACCAAACAAAAAGACAACCTACGGAATGAGAGAAGATATTCACTTACGGTACGTCTCATAAGGTGTTAATATCAAAAATATATATATATATAAGGAAATCATACAACTTAACACCAAAAAAATAGTCTGATTATAAAATGGGTAAGGCTCCTGAAGAAACATTTCTCCAGAGGACATACAGATGGCCAATACACATAAGAAAAGATGCTCAATGTCACTAATCATCAGGGAAATGCAAATTAACACCACAATGCAAGATCACCTCACACCGATCAGAATGGCTATCGTCAATAAATCAACAAACAGCAAGTGTTAGTGAGGATGTGGAGAAAAGGGAACCCTCGTGTACTGTTGGTAGGACTGTAAATTGGTGCAACTACTATGGAAAACAGTATGGAGGTTCCTCAAGAAATTAGAACTGTATGACCCAGCAATCCCACGTCTGAATATCCGAAGAAATCCAAAACATTACTTTGAAAAGATAAGCATCCTTATGTTTGTTGCAGCATTATTTATAATAGCCAAGATATGGAAACAGCCTAAGTGTCCATCAATAGATGATTGGATAAAGAAGAAGTGGTATGCATATACAATGGAGTATTACTTGACCATAAAAAAGAATGAGATCTTGCCATTTGCGACAACATGGATGGACCTAGAGGGTATTTTAAGTGAAATAAATTAGACAAAGACATATATTATTTCAGTTATATGCAGAATCTGAAAAACAAAATAAAAGAAAAAATAAAACAGAAACTCATGGATACAGAGGACAAATTGATAGTTACCAGATGGGAGAAGGGTTGGGGGGCTGGTAAAAAAGTTGAAGGAATTAAGAAGTACAAATTGGCAGTTACAAAATAATCACGGAATGTAGAGTACAGCATTTGGAATAATATAGCCAATAATATTGTAATAACTATGTATGGTGTCAGATAGGTACTAGACTTATTGGGGCAATCATAAGTTACATAAATGTCTAATCAGTATGTTGTATACCTAAAACTAATAATATTGTATGCTAACTGTAATTGAAAAACAAAAAATTATTAAAAAATTATTCTATAAAAATCAGACAATAAAAATAACAAAACTGAGAAAAAACATAGTTGGATCAAACATTTAAAACTATATACAACAATAATAATCTTCATAACAGTACTGACACAGTCCAAAAGACATGTTCAACCCTAAAAATATCCCAGTAAATATAGAACTATGTACACGCACGCACGCACACACACACACGTGAAAGTAGTTTGGTGGCAGGAAGTGTAAGGCAGGGCCAAGGCTGATGAATGTGGAGATGAGGACAAAAAGCACAATGACGTGGGAAAATTTCCTGCTAAGCGATTGGTTCTCAGGTGGCATTTGGCCAGACCGAGCCAAGAGGAAGACTGTGGGGCACGTGGTCATTTGTACCATGTTCCTCTGTGGCTTGCTGTATTCGACCGGGCTAGTATAGTTGGCATTTGATAATTGTTCCTTGGCGATGCTAAACATTAATGTGCGGGGTAAATTGTATCTGAAACCAAGGCAACTTCTGTGTTGACATGACATCGTCCCTGATTACAATTAGAGTAATTTGCATTCCAGACTATGAAGCTCGTTATCCCAGCTTATAAATAAGCCTGTGTCTTATCTCGCTAGGTTGGAACCTGAAATATGAAAAATTTTTTATTATGGTAAAAAGCATATAAAATTTACCGTCTTAATTATTTCTAAGTATATTTACATTGTTGTGAAACAGATTTCTAGAACTTTTTCATCTTGTAAAACTGCAACTTGACCCGTTAAATAACTACCCCTTTCTCCCTCCCCTCAGTCCTTGGTAACCACCATTCTACTTTCTGATTTTCATGGATTTGACTAATTAAGATAGTTTATATACATGGAATCATAACAGTATTTGTCTTTTTGTGGCTGGCTTATTACACTTAATATAATATCCTCAAGGTTTATTCATGACAGGATTATATAAAACATGAAATCTTAAACTCATCAAAGTATGTTTTTTAACCCCAAATTTATTTGAACAAGGTTAGGCTGGGGTGGTAGGAGGTGGGGGTTCTTCCTGCTTTACTTATGTAATAAAATAAATATTCTTGTTGAGTTTATCTCCTTGTCTTGTGATTCTCCTAGGTTTTTCAAGTTTCTAGCATAAATTAACTCTTAAAAGCAGATGGTCTGTGATAAAAGACATTAACCAAAAGGGGAGCTGTGTCAGACATCACAGGGCAAAGTGTCATCTGTAAATTTCTAATGCCTGAGAGTGTTTTAAACTCAGATTGGTGTGATTCCATTCCAGAGAGCTCAGAAATATGCTCAGCAAGTTTTGCAAAAGGAATGCCAACCCAAGTTCGCCAAGAAGTCAATGGCACGCTTGTTTGAGCACAGGTATGACATGGACTTACTGCCTTTCGTGAAGAAGGCCCCCAGAGTGAATGAGGCCGAGTACAAGTACGATCCTCCTTTTGGGTTCCGGAAGTTCTCCAGTAAAGTCCAGACTCTCTTGAAAGTATTGCCTGAGCATGACTTTCCCGAACACTTGAAAACAAAGAGCTGTAGGCGTTGTGTGGTTATCGGAAGCGGCGGAATACTCCATGGACTAGGACTGGGCCATGCCCTGAACCAGTTCGATATTGTGATAAGGTACATTGGTTTTAAACCAGCCTTTCTCCTCTAGGGTTAAATTCACTGCTGTTGGTCAGCACAGCACCAGGAACAGTGAGGGACACAAGCAGCCTGCATGTCCCTGCCATCAGGGGACTTAACTGTTTGAGAAGTTGAAACAAAACCATGAAATGATTAAATGCCCCGTGCTGTGCTGTACTGACCCTAATTTGGCAAAACCTTTTTAGTGGAGGTGAGGTTGAGAAGGATGGATAGATTCAGTTAAGTGAGCAAAGGCAGTAGACTGAGTCAGTGGGACGCCTGGCCTCTGGGAGCAGGGTTTGGTGTGGGGGAGCCCTGGAAGGCCACGTGGCTGGCGTGCACAAACCATGCAGAAGAGTTTGAATACTACACAACGCAGCCATAACACAGCCAGCCTCAATTCTTCTTGGTCTGGCTAGTTAAAAATTATTTTTCTGATTGTGAAAGTAAAACGTGTTCATTCTTGAAGATTAAAAAATATAGAAAAATATAGGGAAGAAAATAACCACTCATAGCACAAATAACCAACCACTACTAATTTGCTTTATTTTTTCCACTTTTCTATACACATAATAATGAGTGCATTTATATTCTTATGAAGTACTTTTTTTTTTTCACTTAATATTATGAATAATTTCTGAGGTCATTAAATATCCTTTGGCAAACCATCTTTACTAAGTATTTAACATTCCTTTAAACGAATGTATCGTAAGTTATTTAGCCACTCTCCTATTGCTGGACATCTAGAATGGTTCCAGTTTCTTTGTTATTGTGAAAATGCTTTGCATATTGTCATGCAGGTCTTTATGTACATCTTTGATTATTTCCTAGGAAATAATTCCAAGAACTTTTAGAATTATTGGCTTAAAGATATTTGAATATTTTTAAGGCTCTTGTTACATTTTAATAAATTGTCCCTATCTTGAGGATATGCAGAACCAAGAGCATGATGAAAGTTGGGTCTTAATTAAGTTTGTCCAGCAGTAGGATATGGATTTGATCGAAAGCAGGAGAGAATATGGATGGGAGCCTGGTGTACAGGTTGCACTAGGGCATGCAGTGTGGGCCTGGTGTGAGGCAGAGAAAAAAGAAATAGAGGCTAAGGATCAAATATGAGAGGTATATTGGAAAAGTAAATTATAGGACTCTCTGACAGTTTGAAAGTTAATATCAGAAGATACCAAGATTTCTAGTCTGGGCATCTAAGACAACAGTAGAACCACCGTAAGAAATGGAGCAGTTGAGGAAAACCTCTGGTTAGGGAGGGAGGATGGTAAGATCCATTTCTGATATTTTGACCTAAAGCTGATGATGATAGGTTCATGTAATGCCTTTGTCCCCAGTAGCTGAGGTCTTGGGCAAGTTTCCTAACTGTCCCGTGCCTGTTTCCTCATCTGTAAGCGGAGGCAGTAATAGCACATACCTTACAGCTGTGGTCCCCAACCTTTTTGGCACCAGGGACTGGTGCCCCTATGAGAATCTAATGCCTGATGATCAGAGGTGGAGCTGAGGCGGTGATGCTAGTGCTGGGGAGCAGCTGCAAATACAAACGAAGCTTCCCTTGCCTGCGCTCACCTCCTGCTGTGCAACCTG